AGCGGGCGTTATACTATAATGCCCGCTAACAATGCCCTGCGGTTGTTATGGATATTATTATATGTTTCATCTCTAAGGTATTATGAGCCAATAATGTATGAGCCAATAATGAAACATAAATATTTTTATTCGAATAAAGGACATAACACAAATAATAAGTTATAATAAATAAAAGTGGCCAAAAATAAAAGCCGTCAACTTCATATTTCAAATTTGACGTCAATGCCATTTTTGAAATTGTCATGTTTTGACGTTTGTAATATTTCAAAAGCGTACTTTTGTAAGCATATACAAGTTAAACAATGAGTGTTGAAAATGCAAGTGCTGCTTTCACGGTATGGTGTTTGTATAAGATGCATATTTTGCATAAAATTTGCGTTCTTTAAAAAAATCGAGTTTTGCTTAAGGTAACATCGGCGAGCGCAGAAAAATAGACCATTTGAACGACTTTGAGACTGAACTTATAACAAAGTTGTAATTTACAAATTGTAAGTAAACTTTAAATTATGATTAATAGTTCTCTATAAACCTAAGTAATTAATTAAAAAAGCCTATAGGTTACTTTTTAAATTTTCGAATTAAAAAGTTCGAAAAATGGACTTTCAGATTCCTTCGAATAAAAAAATATTTTATTACGGTAAATTCCGCTAAATATTTTGCATTTATCTACGGATTATAAAGTATTTTCAAAGCATTGAGGTTTTACATATTTGGGTCCCAAATATCCAAAGACAGATCAAATGCACAGGATCATGTCCCTGTTGTAGATAAGTTCTGCTAGATAAATTTTTGAATATTAGGTCCCTTTTAATAAGAAATTAATTCTTTACATGAAAATTCAATTCAAATTTTGCCTTTGGAAACACGGTAAATTTGAACCGTAATTAATTGGTTAACATAATTATTACAATAATTGCAAAACAGTTGTCACTGTGGTCTATGTGCTCGTCCTAATTGCCATTAACATTCGGCAGGACCTTGATAATATACTTAGCTGGAAAAGTGATACCAAACTAAGCTGCGTGACCCAACTATTGCATTTTGATATCATTATCAATATCACTGAGTGAATTAGGGCTTCATCTGTCGTGTTCTTAACTAGTTCCATCAAAGCAACACTAAGAAACCCTTAGAACAGTCTAAAAAAACTTCGTCCGACATATTTTCTTCATTGAAGTTGTCTTCCACTGAAACCAACACCCCTCCTTCCTTGTGCTTATTAAACACGAGTTTCGATCTTCCTCACAGCAAGACTCAAAAGACCAACAGTATCTCCTCGACTAAGCTCGGAGCCCAGCACTGCTCAACCCTTTCTTACCCTACTGGCAGTAAAAAGGCATTATTGGCCTATAATTTGATCTAGATTTGATTTTAGTCAATGTGACAATTAGGGTCACCTACTGTTTTTATATCTGTAAGAGTGATTCTACTCAAACATCGAGTTTGTGGATTACCTACAAGTAAGTTGATTATTTCGGGAAAGTGAAGGTTGTCGCAACTGTTCCTGAAAAAGTTTTGTTAACTGGTTTGTCAGTCATAAATTGGTCGAACAAGAAGTATGCACTTCCAGGACCAGTTACGGACCTATTAGTTCTCGTTAGCTGGATTTAGGTTGCAATTAACACATCCAAAAGCCTGTACTTAAAAGGGGAAGAAGTTCCCAATTCGAACAAGGGAACAAGGAAGCTTTGGATGCGGGCTTTTGGTTCCACTCGCGTGGGTAAAAGTTCAGTTTAGAATCAATTAGTGTCAGAAAAATTGGTGTCCATGTAAAACTACTTCGTGCAGCAACTTTGGCTTCTCTCTTGCCTTGCTTTTCGAATTTAGATCAAATTCTAGATCCTTAATTTTTCCTACTGGAGTATATAAAATTGATTTCGTTATTTAACTTATTCATTTAGTTAACATCCCACTTATATTGATAAAAACTTGATATAGGTACGTAAAGAGCAATATTGAATTTTTCTATTTCTATTTCTAGTTTTATACAATTTAGCCAAAACCGCGTAAGACGGACATAATATTTTTGCAACGGATGTTGCAGTTGATAAATGCTTTATTCAATTCTCTATTCAGTGCTGCAGATCGGTTCCAATTAGAGATTTTTCGATAGAAGAAAGTTTAAATTCTAAGCGGCGTTTACTTGAGAAAAAATATATTATGCACTGTTCAAAAAATGCGGCGAAAATGTAAAATATTCAGTTTTTGTGTGAAAACTTTATGACAGATGATCCACTGGACCAATGGGTTCTTGAGATATGACCATAAAAGCGCCAAGCGCCGACATGTTTCGGCCGACAATTTTAAAACATTGTCAGGATGTGATAATATTGTTTGAATAGAGAAGGGTTCTTTAGTTAGTAAGCGTGAGATAACTTTACTTCTTTAACTTTTCTGAAATAGTCTCTCTGAATAGAAATAGAAATGTTACAAAAAAACCTACAATTCCAATAGATAAAACAGTTTAGAGTGACTTACCGAACTAAAATAAGGGTGAATAAAAAAGAACAAAATTACATAATATTTCTGAAGACATAGAACCGGTTTTATTTCGAAAGTGTAGCTTGTAACAATTATTTTAAGAACGTAATTTAAGTTTGAAGTCAGTTGGTCCACAAGAAACACATTTAAATAATGTAATTTTAAGACATCCTGAAGTAGATTAATGCATTTCCTTCACGGTGAAATAACGCTAAACAAGCAATATCGACACGCGTTTGGTTGGGAATATTAGACGGCTAAAATTGCTTTGACCTTTATTAACTTAAAACCGTATAAAAGAAAACATATATTATTTAACAATTAAAAACACCCTGTGAATATCACGCTTTTCTTAAAATGATGTTTTTGATATTACTTTATAAATTGAAGAGTAAATTATTTTCATCAAATGTGGAAACGAAGTGGGCATGTTTACAGAAAATTAATAAGGATTAAAATTTATTTTAAACCACTGACAATAGTTCTATTTCTAAAAACTAAATTCAAAAGAAATAAAATAATATAGGTACCTACCTACAAGATTTGACAAACTTTTATCTTCTATTGGAAAAATATTATCTTAAATCAATCAATATTTGTATAATGGTCAAATTTATTGATATCCATGCGTAACTTTAATTAGGTATTTAATGAGTTTGTTGATTCTCTTTAATAGTATAAGGAAAGAATACATTCAATTTTTTACGTAAACCATTACAAGTATCTGTAATATTAAAATATCGTAATCTGTATTAATCTGGTGATCACAGAACTTTGCCGGATAATATTGCCGTATGAGATTTCGTAACGTATGATACATTTTTTCATAAAAAAATCGGTATTTGATATTAAATTCTTTATTGTCTTAGTTTAACTGCAAACCATGATCAGATATTAGTAATACATCTAAAAATATTTTAAAAACTAACACTGAATTTTGTATTTCAAATTAATTATAGTATACAATTAAAATCTAGATTTAGATTAGATCTCTCGGAAATTATTTTCTTGGTTTTTTTTTCAATAATACGAAAATGTACCATGATGCTAGTTATGTATATTTTGTAAAGACATGTTTATTGTGTTGATCATAGAATATTCTAATAGTATACATAAACGTTTTAGATTCAGATATCTGATGATGTTTTTTAACTGAAAGGCTGTAATTTAGTTGTTTTGAATTGTCTGTTGACTGAAACAAATGTTAAAGTATTGCAATTTTATGCCAAAAATAGATTTTTAGTACAGCTGAATATTAGGAACCTGTATTGTATAACTATTATATTGTAATTTTATTTAGTAGTTTTACAACGCCAATATAATATTTTTCCTGTGAAATTTGACTGAAAAGTACATAAACTAACAAAATACGTTCAGACAGTATGTTTTATTCTAAATCATCGATTAACAAAGTGTTGCTAAATAATGTACAAAACAAAATATACTTTACAGTAAAATGAAATTAGAGTACCATAGATGTTATCACTTTGCACTTACAGCAGCCTTAGCAGCCTTCTTTGCCTTGACCGTTTCAACCAGCTCCTTGTATCTTTTCATACAGTCCTTTTTCGAGCGGTTTGGTAAGCACTCAGCGATTCGGTCCCATCTTTCTGGTGTGGAAGCGGAGTACGTTTTCAAAGCTTGTTCAAGTAACTGCTGCTCACTTGTTGTCCAGGGCAATGTATCAAACCTCACACATTTTTCAGTTTTCACAATGGTTTCTTCCTTAACTTCTTTCTCCCGAACTGGCTTTGGTTCTACCACATTAGCTTGTACAGAGTTTTCACGGTGCCCATTATTCATGCCATTGATATTGACTTCTTCTAGTTTCTTGGATATTTCTTCTTCAGCAACACTCAAAACTGCCTTTTTATCTTTTTTAAAGTTGTCAAAAGCATTTTTATTTGCCTGCTCCTTCAGATTATTCTTTGAGAAATCGGTTTTTTGAAGATCCTTTGCCTTGGCAAGTACTAATTTTGCAGTAAATTTACTACTATCTTTCTTAAAAACTCCATGTTGATTTATAAAATTAGCAATTACTTCCCAACGTTGATTGGTACCAGCGGGAAATAAATTTACAGATTTAACAAGCAATTGCAAATTTTCTTCATTCCATTCTGGTGCTATTTTAATAACAGCTGTATTTTTATCTTTATTATTTGTTTGCTTGGCTGCATTCAAAACTTCTTGCTTCTCTCTTTGCAAATGCTTCTCATGATCTTCAATGGCCTTTAAGAACGCAGATTTGCCATTACTTTTTATGTTTTTATTTAAGTCTTCTAAAGCTTCTAAAGTGAGTCTCTCGCAAATGGCTTCAATCGTGGTTATGTGGTAAAGATTCTTATCACAATCGTCAGTAAAGTAGCTATTTGCTTTACACGTATCTCGAAACAATTTTCGCTCTTTTTTAAGAGCCTTTTTCATAACTTCTCTTTCTTGTCTCTTGGCTTCAATCCTAGCTCGCTCTGCGGCCTCTGCTTGCTCCTTTGCTAATTTGATTTCCTTCAATATGCGATCCTCTTCATCCTTCTTTTGTTGTGCAGCTGTCTGCTTGGCTCTCCTTGCCGCCAATTTTCTATCTTTGTCATCTTGTCTAAACTTAGCTATTCTTGGGTCGTTATTGTATGCTAAGTCAACTAACGTTCGTATTCTTGACATCTCCTCTTTCTTCTTCCTCAGCCTCTCAGCTTTATTTAATTTATCTACGTATCTTCTTTCATCCCGATCCTGGCATTTATCTTTGTCTTCTTCATCCTCATAAGAAAATTCTCTCCAAGACTTGAAGTCATACCAAAACGAGTAAAACTTTTCTACGTCATCTCTTGAAGAATTTTCATTTCCTAATTTAGGGACTTTTGGGCGTTCTGACCACCGTGAGTTCAGGTTAAAATAATAATTAAATACATCATAGAAATCCTTCTTAAGTTCAGATGAAGTAGGTATGTCATTATCAAATTCGGGGTCAACAGAATCAAAGGCCCGCCTCCTCGCCAAAGTACCTAAAGTTTCATATGCCATAGTAATATTAGTAAAATAGTCATCATCAGGTTTAATTTCTTCTCCTAGTGCTTTCCTCTTATCAGGATGATGTTTCAAGACTATCTTACGATATGCTGTCTTTATAATATCTTCAGATGCTTTGAATCTTAGTGTTTCTATTCCTAATACCTTGTAGTGGTCTTGCGACTTCCAGTCTTTCGGATCTAAACTTCTTAAATACTCCACATCCACATTGTAGTCGACATCCTCGGGTTTAAGCTCTGCTTCTGGTTGCTCTGTAGGTTTCGGAATGTCCACTTCCAACTCAATCAATGGATGAGGCTCAAATATAAGTTGGGGCTCTCCTCCACCCACGTTTTCATAGAGAAATCGGTAACGGAGGGCTACAGTCTGGCAGGTATTAAGTAAATTCATTTTTGCTTCACCCATAGTTGTCTCTAACCATAACCTTTGCACACTCACTGAGACTTCAGTCACTTTGGATTTACGAAACTGCTGCACGTTCCTGTGTCGAACAATCGATTAACCAAATTTAAAGATATAGACCAACAACAGAAATTCCGGCATGGCAATTGTCAATGACATTGAATAGGGATTTTTCAGAATTCATGTTAACCAACATAAGCAGGGCGGCCAACCGAAAATTTTGTGAAAAATTGTTGGCTTTGAAACGACTATTTTCAGTTCTACCGTTGGCAGCACTTTCCGAATATAGAGCATGAAATACTTATTTAAAAATTTGACAACACTGATTAATGTTAGGTTAGTTTCCCATCAACCAAAATCATAAACATTAAGTAAATACGTACCAAAGCAATAAACTCCAATTTAGAATGAATACCTAAATGATCCAAAAATGCATTGATTCCATTTACAGCTAACTGCTTCCTAGTTGTTTCCGTGCCATCCCCAAGTATAACAGGACGAGTCATGGAGAGGGACAGATCAAGCAAAATTACTGTCGGCATTTTAAAACTTTTCACTCTATGCACTTAACCATAGATAAAGACGAGTATGCACTTAACTAACCAAATTTTGCAAAATTTCAAAATTAATTCATTTATTTTGGTTTTAGAATGAGACATTCGTCTGTTTGCCAAACCAGTTTGTTAGTATGGTAGCATTGATGCCATTGTTCTGTCTGAAGTGACTTTTGACACACTTTTGCAACGATGTCAAATGAGTAGCAATGTTTGAAAAAAATTAAGAATACTTCACATTCCATTAAAATGTACAGTGAGCTGTAAAGTAAAAGTTAATTTTAAGGCTCATATTTAATTTTGTTATTTATGGATTTTTATATTTATTATCACCGTTCAAATTTCGCCCGATCGCACGTAATTCTTTGAAACCGACTATTACTAACTCGACTGTCGACATCGATTATGAAATTTAAACTTAATATTCTGAAATAATTATATTATAGTGGAATAAATATTAAACACGCCATATAAATAATCTGGTAGCAAAAAATTGCTAAATTTCGAAAAACACACACAAAAAAAGAAAGTGTTTTAAGAACCAAAAACAGCAAAAAAGATAAACATGATCAATTATCATTAATTCGAGAAAGTTTAACGTTTTTCAGACATTTTAAAAGTAAAATCACAGCTTAAATATCATAATATATAAGCTGTGGTAAAATGTTATGGTATTTTTCATATTCAATTTAGACCTCCATTAAAGGATGTTTGTCTATGAAATTTAATATATGTTATATAACGGATGCATGAGGGACAGGGGCTTTAAACTCTAATGCACAAGGGCACCCATGCATCTGTTTATACGATTATACGAAAGTGTTTCTATTGGTTGAAAAAGATGGGACATGGGCTTAAGTTTTAATTACACTAACGTTAAAGCCAATTTATTTAATTTTTCACATTTGTAATTAAATAATTATTTGCGTTATACGGGCTGCTTTAACATTTCTTACATTTAATTACTTAAATTTTCTTAACATTATACATACATAATATATTCAAAAACAGTAAGCTAAGAAAATTCAACAAGAAATAAATGTATGTTTAGACATTTTTTAAATTCTTTAATTTCTGGCTTTTATCGATAATATTGTTCTTAGCAAAAACTTTTGTTATTTATTATTCACTTTCATGATACATGTGAAATGCTCCTTTGACAATTTGCTACATTTGTAGTAAGTAAAAGTAAAACTTATATTGGTCTCGTCAAGTACCTACATGATTTGGAGTGTCCGAATCGGAATGCGAATACTCTCTGTATTTAGTATATTGTTCATTGTCTGTGGTTGAAGAGTTTACATATTTCATGAAAATATTTTACATTCAAGATATTTTACTTTTTTATTTTATTTTTTAGCTCTATAATCAGCAAATAAAGTTATCTCATTTGATTCAAACATATCCTTATCCGCCATTGCCATACATTCATTTACAAATCCATCGAATCAGCAGCCTGAATTTCCTTCAAATCCTTTGATTCGTACTCTTAAGTAAATCTATGTCGTGGGTTAAATTTTCAAAATTTTTCATATAACAAACATCTTTACTACTCGATTCTATTAAAGAGCGCGAATCTTGAAACGTAACGTTTCCTTTACCATTATGAATAAATTATGTTGTTAAAATATAACGAAATGCTAATCGATAGATTATACAGGTTGGATTTGCATTAAATCCACCTCTTCCACGTACTTTTGCATCGATATATTCGACCGAATAGTTATTGCAAAGGCCTGTGCTAACTCATAATTTAGAAATCCGAATTTTAAATCATGATGAAGATTAAGCAAAGCAAAAAGCAAAAGCAAAAAATTTCGGATAAACATGGTGGTTTCGAAACATTTTTCCATTTAAGTTACAAGACCCATTATGTAAACCATGCGACAAACTTTTCGAGGCGCTGCTGAACCTCTGGATTCCTATCGTCATTGAATCTCAGATGTCCTAATAAATTTGATGTTCCATGACTCTCAAGTTCCCATGTTTTAATTAATTAATTTTTTGTTATTAATTTATCATTAAAGCTTATTATTTTACCTATGAAACCAATCAGACGGATATGGGTTTGAATACCCGAATTCCACGTTTCTCACAACCTGAACATGCATCATTTGTTGATGCAACCCACTTTAAACTTTTTCCATGATGAATATTCGATGTAAAAGAAATATAGTGGGTCAGCTGTATTAATCATGCCATCATATCAAACAATGTTGGTAATATTGTGTCTTTTATGTCGATTATCTTCGTGTTTTTGAAATATTAAATCCAGTTGATCGGCTGCTTGTGTACCCCTGATGGACGGATGATACTGCTTCAATATCTGGCACATCTGAAAAATAAACAGCTAATTGATATTTACACATTAACGCAACACTTCAATAATGTAACAAAATAGCCAGATAGGTATAATTTGAACTTTATATAAGGTGTTAAAAAAGGGTGACTGCTCAGATCATATTATGGAGAAAAAGCATACAGGGGGTTGTCCTAGTAGTAGGATTAACGCACACATAAATCTATTTTTCGCAATTATCATTTTAGCATTTCAAAGAATTCCTAGATATACGTCCGAAAATATTATCACATCGCTTAAGCAAATGGAAAAATTCGTTAATAAACTTCCAAACGGACAAATTAATTTGTAATTTACAAACAAAAGATGCACTTTATGTATTTCATGTACGAATGCCGCATTTTAAGATTATTTCGGTACATTTACTCACATTGTTGAGTGAGCTTCTATTAAGAAACTGAAAAAATAAGCTGGTAACGTACAAAAGAAAAGCACGTTATGGCTTTCATGCATCAACAACTCTTTATTTTAAGAGTATTTTCGTATGTTTTGATTTACCTTAAAAATTTGATACGTTAGGCGACAAACCATTAGTTATAAGCAGTTATAGAGTATGTATACCAAAAATTTTCGTTCACTTACAATTTTTATAATAGAATTTATATCTGATCTAACTAAACTGGATAATTCTTAAGGCATATACACAGCACGCCAGTACAGTTTAAAATACAGGATGCTGATAATTAAAAATATGTAACATCACATTACGACGTCCCGATTTTTTGGGAAACCCGGTACATTCATAAAACTCTTTAAATATTCTAAGTTTTAAAACCGTCATCAAGTTATGTACGATAAAAAGAAGGTTTATAAAAAGTATATCATTGTATGTATACATATTGAGTATATGTGCAGATGAACATGCCAGATATATACATATTGTGTATATGTGCAGGTGAATATACCTAGTATGTTCAAAACAAATATTCCGGTAATATACATGAATGTATATCTACGGTATATTCCAAATTGGGTAAATATGTGTACGTGCCCGCAGCAGACAAGTAAGTGCACGTACAAGTACAAGAGTTTATATGAACTTTTCTTTTTAAATGCGTCAACGTTATAATTTTATTGGGCAATATTAATAAAATTTCTATATTACTCAAATAAATTTATCCGGAGCTAACAGTTCCCACCCTATGAAATTCAAACAATTAAAATGCATATAACAAATTCAAATTACCCGCTTAGTGTCTTCACGGATTACGTCCGGCTATAACGTGACATTCGAGTGACAATGAGAGCGGACCAATGAGAATCATCTTTCACGCAGTGCTGTTTGGCGGTAACGCCAAAGCTCTCAGAATTTCTGAAAAGCTGCAAAGCTTATAATTTATTGGTTATTGTCATAAACAAATTATTATGTGCTATTACACAAATCGTGATTTTTTAAATTACCTATATGATTGTAAATTTATTAGTTACTGTCTTTCTAAGCAAGACAAAATTTAGATTTTGTCAATATCGGTTTATCAGTGATGTGATATGATCGCTAGGGATCACGTGAGAAAACCACACACGAAAAATGTTCGCATAAGATACGGCAAAATGTAAAGGTATGCAAAAATGTAAAGGGTGTTTAAATTAAATACATTTGATTATTTTATTATTTCGTGTTTTATACTACAGGTAATGTCGCTGTTGTGGACCTGAAGCATTGAAGATGCTAGGGATCACCAGAACTCCAGATCCAGTGAGAAAACCGCACACGAAAAATTTTCGCATAAGAGACAAGTAAGGTTGTCTGAACCTAATTATTCTTCTATTAATGTAAAACTATTATCTGTATTTTTTTATTTTTACCAGTTTGAATTTGGTTGATTTCTATTTTGCGATAAGCATGTTTCCTTGTATCGAAGAAAAGCAACAAAAGTAAAATGAAAGTAATGTATCAATGCAAATTGCTATACCTAACTGTATTTCTACACAATAGAATAATCTGTGGATGAACGAAAATACTCTTCTACTATCATACTAAAATACTATCAATGTAAAACTATTTACTGTATTTTGTTGTTGTGACAAATATTAAAATTTGTAATTGCTTATAGAATTTTTGTTAAGAGCATATTGCGAAACACTTTAATTGATCGAGAACAAAATGAAAGGGCAAAATCCACAGAGCGGGAACATGTAAG